AATAGTGTTTCGATTTGGTATGATCTCTTTACTAAATCCCTTCTGGTGGGAACCAAAATTTGGGCAATAGTCTGGTCCGTGCGGCCAGACGACAACAGCACAGGTGGATTTTTACATATTCTCACATAGTAATCTCTTTTTTGGTTTCGCCAAGCTCATTTACATAATGGTGGGAATCACACTGACAACATGAACGTTCGGAGCGTCCTCTCGAAAAGTCCCGCGGCGTGTTTTGCGTTTTGGTCACGGGTTGGAGCTGCAGGAGAGAGAGAGAGAGAGAGCGGCGTTCACTTGGGCAGGTCCTCCAGAGAGTCGCTCAGTGTGTCCATGGCCATGCCTGGACCCAGCTCCGGAGGTTTCAAGCGCTTTATCGTGTTTTTCAAAGCTTGCCTCTTGTTGCAAAACCACACGCGCACCACCTCGCGGTCATAGTTCAGTTTCTCGGCTATCTCGGTCATTTCCTGTCCCGACGGGTGTGTGTTCTTCTCAAAGTGGCTGTTGAGGATCTCCAGCGCCTGCGGGGTGAACGAGGTCCTCCGCTTGCGTTTTTTGGAGGGTTCGCTGCCGATAAACTCAGTCAGGTTCTGCATCCCGGAGCGGTGGCGTGCTTCGGCCTCGGCCATCCAGCGCTCCAGAACGGGCTTAATCTTCTGGGCGCTTTTAGGGGTGATGTCCAACTTCTCAAACCTGGCAGGATATAAAAGGCCAGGGTTCAGTTTCCCAGTCAGACTGTTACCTATAGTGTTCTCCTGGGCTTCCTGTGGTAGGAAAAAGTGGCTTCTCAGGATGGTGTGTCTGGGGAGAGTTAAGAAAAAAAAAAGAATCTTACTTAGAGGCCCTGACAAAACCCAACAAGGGATAAGCTATGGATATGTGTGTCTCCTCCACGACACTGCTGGGACAGAGACTGAGCCAAACGCCAAGGAAGACTGGACCCTTGGCAGATAATTTGTCTGACACCATTTCACTTGAGAAATAATGTGCTGACATCAATACTATGAATTCAAATCAACCAATTCCATGCTATAATTTACAATGTTTACGTTTGAGTATATCAAAAGTGGGAATTGAAATGTGGAAAGCCTAACACATAAGCTATAACAATGATTAAGTATTTAGTATTAAGTATTAAGTAAGCCGATTGTATGATTGGTATGCTTTGCCAATCGATACCAACGTAAAGAGGCAGCGTCTCTGTCCCAATCTGGCAAACGTGGAGGAGAAAGCTACTATTTTCACATGATCAGAATCAAACAAAAGTCGTAATTCATTGCTTTTAGGTGAAAAAACCCACACAATCTCTAATGCAAGCAGTTAAATACAGCACCATGATTTATTTACCAAAAACACTTGCATTATTCATCAAAATGTGCATTTAATACATTTTTTAAACTTTCTTTCCCCTTCAAACAACCCCTCATTTTTATAATTAATAAGAATACATTTACGCACTTATAATTCTGACATTTTAGCAGCTCGCTCTGTCAGAGTCGGGCCCCACCGCTCAGTGAAGTCTGGTGCTCACACAACACACTCTACATTTTCTGCAACTTTTAAATATGTTAGTATTATCTTTAATGCTGAAAGGAAAACATAAAACAAAAATGCATCATTTTCCGGTCCATGTGTGACGTGCAAAGATGCTTTTAGTGGCCTGACAGCGCTGATGGAGGGACAGAAAGAGCTCGGAGGAGTCTTGAGTCTCGGCGGAGCAAACAGCGCTCACACAAGACATTTTTAATGGTGTGAGAGGAACGTAGGCGCCTCTCCCTATGCTTCCTACACCTCGCCCGTGCATTCTACCCTGTCGACAGGCGCCATTATTTATAACCCCGTCCTGCATCTAAACAGCAGGGAGCACTGCGGGGAATACATTAGCAAATATGAAGAGTCACCAGAGACGGGACGTTTCATGGATCAACAAGATCTAAAAAAAAAAACAAGGAGGCTTGAGTCTGCCCCAGAAGCGGCTCTAAGTACCTCCGGACCGGTCTGTTTTACCCGTGCTCCATTTAGACCGGCACGGAAACAAACAGAGGCCAGTTGTGTAGAAATGTGGTGCTACAAAGCTGAACAAGATGGTTTGGTTAAAGCTGGGGTACCTAACTCTGTCCCTACAGGATTCACATGCATGTATTCTTGAACTCTGCATGACATCCTTCGAGCAGCCTTTTCAGACCTCCTTTCAGACCAGTCGTAACCTCACTCAACAGGACCCACCACCTTTCAGCTCTGAGCCCAAAGTATCAAATAGAGACAGGGCTCTTTTTCATAAGTATGCAAAAGACAGCATGTTTACTTATGAATAATTGTACATATTTGCTTAATAATTTGCAGCCTCAAAACATGCATAGCTCATCGGTCATCAGCTGCTCTTGATTCTGAAGAAAGCTATTCAAAGGATCAGTGCATTTGTCGACCTCTATAATCACAACATTTAGACAAAGAAAAGTTCAGCAACAACTCGAAAACAAAAACTAAAACTGCGTCTAATTTCGGGATCGTTTCAAAGTATGAAAGCGGCGATGAGAAACCTCTGCACTTTCCCAATTTGGAGCCGTTTCTTCATGACATCAAGTGCAGTGAAAACATTTTAAAAGCACTTTGTTACCCGGGCCACATCCTCACAAAGAGCTTGTGTGGATAGAGACGCTGGATCACTACAGGATCAACGGTCAAAAGAGAGTCGTTAATCGCTCTGCGCCGTCAGTGGTCAATGCCGAGCGCAGATGTCAAGGATGTGAGGTGTGCCGCAGTAATGGATTTGGGTTTACCAACACAGAAACTATTTAATATTTGATTCTAACCCTCGCTTGACTGTGATTTTTCAACTGAATGACCATTTAGAATAAGGCGTGTGTTCAAAATCGCGAATAATGCTTCCCCTTTTGACAACCATGATGCAAAGTTAATACTTCTTTAACCTGTTTCGACCTCTTCCCGATTCTTTTACCACATTCAGAGCAACGTACAGCTTCAATAAATATTCAATAATAATGTCCGCTCATGGATTTATATCAACCTGTACGCCACCAATGTAGGAGAAATGCTCAAGGACTCTTTCTATAGATATTTATCTTTGCCGTCTTGATGTTAGTAGTTCTCTCTCTCACATTTTGTCTGTATCACATCCCATTTCTGAATGAGCCTAAAGAAAATGCTAAGAAAGTGTTTATGCAGTCCTACACTCTACATAAGAAACAAAAACTTCACATTCTTCTTCCATGTGAGAGATGAGCGAAGTCACATTGTGTGCATTGCCCTTTTCCATATAAAATGTTAAACTAAAACCATGTGTTATTGAATAAGGATGTATGTATGTTCTTGACCTTTAGCCGTGCGGTCACAAACAAACACAACACTGACCTATGCTGAAACATTACGCTCAAGCTGATCTCCTGTCGCTCTACTACAGTCCATCAAAATATGTGAAGTTCAAAACCGTAAAACCTTTTTGCCTAATTTCAATCATATTTAAGATGTTGGTAATGTCTTGCAAGGTATGTATCTATCTATATACAGTATCATCTATCTATCTATCATCTATCTATATATCCTGTATATATCTATCTATCTTCAATTCAATTCTTTTTTGTACAACCTAAAGACCAAGAGCAGTCATCTTGAAGGAGGACTCTGAAGACCAAGTTGTCGATTCACCCACAATAGTCCAGAGAGTCAAACACCTCCAACACAGGAAATGCATTAATAACAAACACATAAGAGCCAATGGTCCATAGGGAGCGACCAATGTCCTTAAATGTCCCTAAAGGTCCCAAAATGTCCTTAAATGTCCTTAAATGTCCACAAAGGTCCCATATCATCACTGTCCTTTTAATGAGTGTCAATCCCCACTGTTTAATCAAGCCACGGTGTAACACTCGGCCTCCCTTCTGCCCACACACGTGCCTCACATTGCATCGCCTGCTTGATAATCTAATATAGTGAGCCATGAGTGCAGACGTGAAAGAGGCATCTGTCACTGCCGGTTCCCCTTCTGTGTTTGAACCGGGCCCCTGGAGCCACGGTCCCCTACGTCTGCCCTGATGTTAACTAAACTAAAGCATGTGAACTTCCTCTCTCTACTTAAACCATCAGCGTGTCATGTCCCATGTCAAACACAAAGAAAACGTCTCCCTTAACAAGAAACCGGAGTGCTCATTTTTTTTTAAGTTAATGGTTTTTAATGTTGGTTATAAATATTTGAATTATGCCGAGGAGGTTGAATATTTCATGTGTGATTTGGAGATTTGAAGCATTAGCGGCGGTGGGCCTGTACAGCTTCAGGTTTTATTGGCTGCTTGATGTTGATGTGATGAAATTTTAAAAAGCGACCGGCGGCACTGTCACATGAACGGTAAGCATGTGCATCTCACACGTGTTACAAGAATTCATATCAAAAAAGGAGGCATTTGACTGATAAGGTGAAATACAGCAGCAGAGGCCTAGTAAGTCTATATACTGTATAGAAAGATAAATATATAGATAGATAGATTGATATCAAAGCATTTACAGCCAGCTAAAAAACATAGCAGCTACTTATAATGTATATTGTGTGTGCTCTTACTGCTGTCCTGAAATGTCCCTACTGTGGGACAAATAACGGTTCTCTTGTCTTCTAATCTGAACTGAAAGTAAAGAAAATGTATGTTTTTGTTAATAAAGGTAGAACATTGTCTATTACTAACAACAACATTTAAAATCAATAGACTGTTGAATGATGTTAGTCTCTTACTACACTCTTTGCCCTGTCATAACCTTTAATAATGTCAAATCAGTATGAATTGTTCAATACAAATAAACTTGCCTTTGTGAAGCTGAGGTCCTGTACTTTTTACTCTTTAATTACAAGTGAGAACAATCTCTGTACAGAAAGATCAAACTAAACTAAACTCTAAAGACAGCTTACATTGTCCATGGTTAATAAAAATGAGGGCAGCTATACCCTTGTTGTTGTTGTTTTGGGATAGGATCTACTTGTTTGTAGAATTACCACATTTTGAGTTTTAACAATGCTCTCTTCACAGCTTAGGCAAAAGTCGTTAGAAAAGAGCAGCAAAAAAGGACATGTTTATTTTTCCAAATAAATTTCGAATTTTATTTGTGAGCGTGGCGTTCACACCGATCCTGAATGTTTGATTGGACTCTAAATAAGAGAGACAGAACCCTAACCCTTTATTCTAATCTTTCACGTTTCCAGAAGTGTGTTAGCCACTGGATAAGATAAATATAAACCACCAAACACATTACAGATTGAGTGAACTCCAGTTGTACCTGTACAGACACATCAGTGCAGTAACAGAAACACTAAAAGTAACACCAAGCCAAAATCAAGCCTGTAAAGTAATATTCAGAAGTGTCGCTGCAGAGGCCTCTTTAGCAGTTGCAGAGATCCGCATTAGGACTTGATGTGGGTCACCAGTTCTGCTGCGAAGGGTACATTTGTCTTATTTGGCGTCTTTAAGTGAAGTGTTATTCAAGTGGAAAAACAGGAGAGATAAAACGCTGATTGTCTGATTATCTCATGAATATATAATGCTCCATTTAGGGCTAAACTGTCCTCGCGGCTGCCATAAAACATGTGAATCTTATTAGCAGATCATCTCCGCCGCGCGTTCCCGGCTCAGACGCAGCCAGCCTTAGTAATTATTAAATGCTTTAAGTGCTTCGTGTAATACTCGTGTATGTATTTTGCATAAGTAACAGGCGGCTGTCATGTCAAATGAGAAAAGGACGAGGCAATGAGCCCGGGCAGACACGGAGGCCTCCCTCGGCTTCAAACAGTGCTTTTAAGAAATAGAATAAGTGTTTGTATCACGTCGAAAACAATGTGAACGATGAACATTTCTGTCAAAGCAGGACATGAATTATAACAGTCATTTTACAGCCTATAAGATCGGAGGAGGCTGATAGACTATAAACAGAACGCCTATATATGTGTCTTATAATTATTATCATTAAGGTAAAGGTGCATATTAATTCATCCCCTGCATTTGACCCATCCTGATGCTGCTAAGGCTTACGTCAGGAGCAGTAGTTGCCGTAGTGACAGCGCCCAGGACCCATTTACAGATGTTGATGCTCGGCTTGGTCAGGACCGGAGCTGGAGGATTTAACCTAGTGAGCATGTTTTTAGTGGTAGGGGAAACCGGAGTACCTGGAGGAAACCTACGCAGACACGGGGAAAACATGCAAACTCCACTCAGAAAGACCCTGTTCCGACCGGGATTAATTTGAGTACTGACAGGCACAGCAAACATAGACAAGTGTCGTGCAGTAACCAACCAAGTGTATGAATGTTAACTTTATTGAAACTGGCACCAAATGGAAAATACACGGTAACAACAAAGTAACAAACTTAATAAGAGCATTAGTGTGGACAAAGCTAACAAAAACTTAACAGGGCGCGACAGATATATATTTAAGACACAGTGACCATGTGTCGGTTCTCTTTACGAACAATAAAAAACATTTAGCTTTTCCCATTTTCCTGATTTATATCTGTATGAGTTTTACCGTCCAAACTTATTCTCAGTCACTTATATAAGTACCAGACACATGGAACTTCCAATATCATTTATTTCACACATGGATGAAGTAAAGCAACCGATATAATTTATATTCACCAACAATTCACTGACGGAAAAGTTCTAGGAAATGCCCAAGACAACAAGACAAACACGAAATGTGATGTTCTGAAATGGCTAGATATTGATGCATTTTGTTTTTTATTGACCTTTTGACCAGAAATAGTTTGCGATATCAGATTTTTTTTGCGGTTGAGTGCTGTCCTGTAAATGAACGGAATTGTCTATGCTAATTTCATGTCACATTCAGGTTCAGATTCATTTTATTTGCTAATTTTAATGAATGTAGACAGTGTAGAAAGTACTATAAGAAAAACACATGGAAAATCATAGTGAGCATTTCTGATATCGGTTTGTAATGAGCACCAGACTGTTCACTGAGTGTGGGTCCCGTGGTCTTCAAAACATCTCTAAAGACAACAGCATGAAGCTAACAGAAGGAAAGAGCGGTCCTTGTCATGTGGAGTTACCTGCATATGGCGGACTGGCTGTAGGCGGGCCCCTCTGCGGCGCTCAGAGCCTGGCCCACCTGAGTCTGCGTCAGTCCCAGTGACAGGCGGCGGATCTTGAAAGCTTTGGCGAACTCTCGGATCTCCTCCAGGTTCACCCCGTCCACCTCGCTGGGGGCGGTCTGCGGGTCTGCGACAACAACACAATGGTCTTACTTCATTAGCCTCGTGGTCCCAAACACACCAGCTGTACGCCACCGCCATCGTCTTCAAACTGCTCTCAGCAAACAGCTCGAGCCGCGGTCACAACTTATTATCACAGGCTGCCCTTTCATGGTCGACCCCATATATTTGAGCGCGCTTTGAAAAATAAATTCAGCCGAGGAGTGAATGGAGGAACAGCGTGTTTGTGAGGAGCCACTGTGGATCTTTAATCTCTGGGACAAAAGCGCACACACAAGACTTGTTGGTGCCACTGGAAGAAAGACGTGAAACCTTGGGAAGTCTATGTCTTGTTGTGTTCTCACCTCTAACCTTCTCTGCATAAACACGTATACACGCCATGTAAACATAAAGTACATTATTTGGAATATGTGACCCAAAGCCAACACATCCCTCTGCTCCGATCTGCAGATTCAGCCCACAGAACACTGCAACACAAAAGCAGCGGCTTGTGGACACACACATCTGACAAATAGCAGCATATTGAAGAATTTCTCCGCTAATAAAAAGTGATTTCACATTGTACATCAATGTCAGGTGCCCTGGCATCCTGCTTACTAAAGCAAAGTTTGTGCCTCTGAATTATTCATCTTGGTCATTATCAATGAATTATTAAAGGAATCCTCCAAGCGTATTTAAGCAGAAATCTATGGGCTGCCATCTCCTTGCGGCTCATAAGTGATGTGTAGCGTATGCAGCGGCCTGGACGTGTGAATGCTCTGACCGGGACACACTAAATGGGACGGACGAGCACATCAGCTCCACATTGATGAGCATCACTTCATCACTCCCAGAGGACTGTGTTTACTTAGAGGGTCCCCCGCTAATGCTGCTCTGCTGGACCATGCTGTCTCTGGGCTATCCAGGAGCACCTCTGCATTGGGTTTGATCCTGGCTAATGTACTTTTCAATAATAAATAACAAGACTTTTCATGAAAACTAACAGTGAATGAATATGAGAAACAATTAAAAATGCAGAAACCTATTATAGCCCCAGCGTGAGAATCACTCACGCAATCAGCCTGTAAGCACAGTAAATTAAACAGCCGATATGTAATACTTCAATCACAGGCTATTATCCATAGTGTGCATGAGTGGACACAATGAACCTGTGATGGACTACCTACAAGAGGCTTTCTTTTCTGAGGGAAGAAGGCCTTTGAGAACAATGTCTTAACTTGACATTGTTTTTCCAGCGATAACTATTCAGGGTGTGTGAGTGCTTGTGCCTTCACCGTCTCATCCAAATTAACAAAAAAACCTCTCCACATAGACAAAAGGTCACCCTACATGACAATACAAACTTGTTGTGAATCACTCATGGCCCTTACTGGCACTAGTCTTCACTCTATGCTGTAATTTAAGTGAAGGACAGTCTCACTTTAAAACAGGATTTACGCTTGGCCAAACTTTCTCCAGATATAAATCCAATACAAAAGAAAAAGTGTAAGCTGCCATGCTCCCCTCGGATTGACATTTTCCATCTGATTATTGTAAATACCAGTAAGGGACATAGTGCGTTTTAATAGGTTTGTGCTGTTTGTCTGAGGCTGACAGCGACATTTCATCTTGTCTCTGTCAGGGGATTGGGCTTGGCGTATGTATGCAGTAAGTGAAACTGAGAGGAAGCGATATGCCCCTGTACTCAGCATATAGCACTAATTCTATTGAGGCCGATGATTCTGTGCAGGCCAAAAACAGTTTATGAGAGATTTTTCCGAGCTACAAGTAAACATGGACTAAACACAACGTCTACAACAAGTTGATCAATTGCGACTTTGTTTTTGATTAAATTCGGTGGCTTCGGAGCTGCCTTTAAAATGAGTTTATGGGGAGTTTAGGGGAATCGACTGTGACAAATGAAATTTATCAGAATAAAACATTTTTTTTAAAGAGCGGGACCGTATGCTGACAGGCGGTGGCCCGGTGATTTATATGGGGCTGCCAGTGGCCAGAGTGTCCAATGAATGAGGCTTATGTTCATTACAAAGAGCACATGCCACATCATATCAGCTAATAAAGAGAGGAATGGGCAGTCAAAACCACTGAATGTGGAAAAGAGCAGCGAAAGAAGCGACCACTGACCACACAAAGAGAATCTCCTCTGTTCAAAGCAAATCTGCAGCTGTTGGTTTGAAGAGATGAATAAAACTATCAAAAAACAACTATTTTAAAGATGGAAACCTTGATGATCTGCTTGATTCTCATTATTCCGTCAGATTTTTGTGGTAAATGACACAAATTGTTGTTTTTCTATCCACACAATGATTCTTTAATAATGTCAAATCAAATTGAAAACAGTAATTAAGATATTAAATGAGCTCTACGATACGCAGAGACGGAGCTTCCTCAGTCTCTGCGTATCGTAGAGACTGTTGATGATTTTAAGTCCCAACTAAAGACACATTTGTTTGGACAGGCTTTCTCGCACCATTGTTCATAGGCCTCTGTGAATGTAAATTGTGTTTTCTGTGTTTGTTTTATCTGACTTGTATGTGTATTTTGTATTTTAATGTGTGAAGCGCTTTGTGACCCTGGTCTGTGAAAGGCGCTATACAAATAAACTTTACTTACTTACTTACTTACTTAAATGTGTGAATGTGTGCCATAAAACTAACAAATACTCACAAAATAACAAATAACAAATAGCAGATTATTTGATTATCAATGATTACATTTAATCATTGAATCAAGTTAAAACTGAACTAAACTCTTCCAGGACTCAAATGTTTACAATCTATATATTGTGCTGACGCTGCTGAAACCCAGGTTTAGAAAAAGAAAGAATAACTTGTTTTTTGGTACATTTCGTCACACTTGTTATCATCTGAAACATCTTTAAAAAACCTAAGCCCATAGTTACAAAACTTGAAAGTCCGGACTGGGCGATCTCGGACAAAAAACACAGCAATTGCTTCCCCCCATATTGATTGATCTCAATTTCCTATGTGATTTTCTTCTACTTTTACAACAAAATAACTGGTATTTTTGTATTGCCAAAATGTAACACCGCAGGAGGACACATGAAAGAGAAGCAGCAAAAACTGTTTTTCTTCTAAACAAATTTGTTAAACTCTGCTTTACTGATACTACCACATTACCGCCGTCTTTAGATTTGAATTCAGGGGTCGATAATCTCCATCTACCAAAGTTGAGATTAACCATACTTAAAGCACTACAAAATGTCTTCATATTAATCCATATCCCACTACTATAATAATAATAATGATAATAATAATAATAATAATACATTTATATGGGACCTTTCTAGACACTAAAGGTTGCTTTACCAAGGGGTACAAACAGTTAAAAGCAAAAACAATTGGGAGCTTGACTTCTTCCCACTCCGTTTTGAGCTTTGACAGGAGTGAAAAAAGGAAACTCCTAAATATATGCATGAATGTATGTTTCTATAATATGTAATTGCTGTAAATTCTATAATTTATTCTTGTTTATAAGCTTGAAATAAATCCAATCAATCAATTAGAAATGAACTGTTAATGTAGGGCCACAGTGAATAGGCCAGTCTGAATAGGTGTGTTTTAAGCGCGGTTTCACTAGCACTGTATTACTAGCACTCTCAGTTGTGTGTATGTGTCTGTGTATGTGTGTGTGTGTGTGTGTGTGTGTACGTGTCTGTGTGTGTGTGTGTCTGTATGTGTCTGTGTATGTGTGTGTGTGTGTGTGTGTCTGTGTGTGTGTGCATGTGTCTCTGTGTCTCTGCATGTGTCTGTGCGACTTACTGCTGACCAGCTGCCCCACGCTGAGAGCCGAGGAGGCGGAGGAGGAGGTGGAGGAGGAGGACGAGGCCTGGTGCAGGGGGCTCTGTCTGTGCATGTGCATCAGACTGGACTGGGACGTCACTGGGCCCGGCTGACCCTGCGGGGCCTGGGGCAACTGAGACACAAAGACACACAGCACCGGACATTACAGCCACCGTCGAGTCCCCGCATCAAGCCGGGCATTTGATATAATTGTACCGCTGCAGTGGTTAAATCTAATCAACAATCAAGCGCTATTAGATTAGATGCTTATCCAAGGGCTGTAATGAGATTGTGTAGATAATAGATTATAATTAGCAGCTCCGATATGAGGATTGACAGGAGAAAGATGGTGTCAGCCTAATAGACTAACAGCGCTAAAGGGGAGAGCGTTTGTCTGCATGGCCTCGCTGTCTCTCCGTCATGAAATGTTAACGCACACGACAATTAAGACTCGTCACTCCGCGCCACTGCTTATAACGAACGAGAGTCTGAAACAGAAGTCAAAACATGTGGACACAGCAGTATATATACGCGTCGCACCTCGCTCGTGATCTGCAAATTGTGAGGGCGGCGGAAAAGACAATGTATTTTCATGTTTTATGCACATTTGAAACGCTTTTACAAGATCAAGATGGTGCGACTACACTTTTAAAGCTGTCTCCAAAGCTGGGGCTGGTTGCCGCTCGCTTTCCCTCCTTTTGCTATTAATTATTTTCTGGGTGGCATGTGTTTGTTTGGATGGTGGGGGGGTGTCAACCGCGATGCGCACGCTGTCAGGACTGTTGACAGGCTCGGAGAATTATTTAGCTTCACTGGAAATATTCTACACTGCACACTCTGACAACCGTAAATTATGCCCGTGGAACCACAGCGTATGCCGAGGCTTTGAAGTGAAGACAAAAGCCTAAACATTATTACAAATGCATTAATTCATTCAAGAGGATGATCTGGTGTTTTGCGAGGGCCACAATTAGATGTCCATCTTGGGCGAGTTCATCCGTGCCTCACTGTATGGGTTTTCATTGTGAACTTTTACCCTGTAATTCTCCCTGACATCACCATTATCTAGTCAATAATGTTTTCATCGCACATGCATCTGGTGCCAAACGTGTAAACACAAATGCAGAGAAGCCTAAATTGTTTGTAGAAAATGACCTACTCCGCTCTATCCTTGCTTCATAACAAAACAAAATACTTGTGGTGGAGGTCAGGAAGGACGTCCGTACCTAAGGAGTGATTGAGGAGGGAGAAGGGCAGGGCCATGAGGAGAAGGGAAGAGTGTCTGAGTTTAAGAAGTGATGAAAAGTGTTGTTTTGGGCTCTACAGGGGCGCGCAGCAGCCTCTTTGAGTCTCTGCCTGAAATGTTGGCTGACAAGTGCCTCCCAGACACTCACATGGGGATCAATTGAGCTAAAAGCAACAGTTTTGTGAAAAGAATGATGCAAATGAGTGTTAAAAATGGCGTATGGGGAAATCTACAGACTCTGATGTGGCTCTCATAAACGAAACAGTCCACTAGGTGCTGCTCATTCAACAGTTTGAGTCGAGTTCATTAGGTCATGTGTTCCGAGCTTGTTGTGTGTGGACATCAGTACAGTACCTGCTGTCCAGGCTTGATTGGTGACAGCGTGATTCCCTGGGTGTTGATGACAGGCAGGATCTGATTGCCGATCACCGTGGCGATGATCTGGCCTTGAGCGTTGGTCAGAAGCTGAGGTGTAATTGGCTGAACCTGCAGTGCTGGGTTGCCACCCCCTGATTGGCTGGAGGGCCCTGCAGAGTTGGGAATCAGTGGGATTGTTCCAATTATCTACAAAGGGGGGAGAAAAGAGACAAAATCAGCTGGGCGGTTTTAAAAGGAGGAGAGAACAGAGAAGGTGAGAGCGACTGGAGGTATCAGTCTTAATGATCCCTGCTGCTGTGAGCCTTTTTCTGAGGTTACTTGGAGTGATCAGAAACAAGCCACGAGGCTGGACATTTTAGAAGAATCAGATGTGCACCACAGACTGTTAGCGGTCAGTGCGGGAAGTACAATCAAAGGCATAGACGGCAGTAGACAGCATAGTATGTGAGAAATGTCCAACATTTTTGTTAAAGTGGTACGTCTGCTACTGATGTAAAACAATACTTTTATTTGGTTTTACTTGAGTAATTTATATGAGGTACTTTGTATGTGATTTAGAGGCACAAACATGCAAGTGTCTGGTGATGATCTGTCACGGCGGTGGTCTGAGGCTGGAGCCAGTGCAGACTGCTGGGAGCGCACTGCAAAGGTCAGGGCTGAATACCTGTGTGTGTGTGATGGTGCACACCACTGACTGTATTATCCATCCCGGCCCAGTGTGTGTGTGTGTGCACGTGTGTCTGTGTGTGTGAGAGAGTGTGCTTAAGTGTCTTTGTCTGTCTCTGGGAAGGCGAGTGAGACCCCCATTTCATCCTCACACAGGCAAAAAAGACCAAGTGGGAAGAAGGAGCACAAAAAGAAACAATAAGTGGAGAAAAGGGAGCATCTGAGAGAGAGACAGGCCCGGTCTCTAACAAGTGTGAAGGTCCCAGGGGTACTTGAGGCCTCCTGCCCCTCTGCCTTGGGTTGCCTATCCTCTGTGGCTGTAATCAGGAAGGGCAGATCAAAGGGGGCGGCAGAGTGTCACTGCAGCGTTTTAGCTCTCAGAGCTGCCAGAGTGTGGCCAAGAGTGGCGCTTTAGGGGGGACTTAGCGCCTCTTCACCATGATGAAGGTTAATGTCATCTGGGGACTGGTCCTGGGCTTCTCCTCCCCACCCCCTGCTGACAGCGTGCCTCCACCAAGCCTCATTACACCAGAGAGCTCTGCACGCATCGCAGGCCCATTCTTCTAAATTCTCTTGTTTAGCAGCAAGCCAAAGGCAACTTTGAGAAAATTGCTCTTTGAATATCTGCCTTTATGCTTCAGTCAGAATCTCTACACTTGGACCCAATTATGAAATCAAATTACTTACAAACAAGTCTCTCTTCTCCTGCATGTGTGCCATGGTGTGCCCCTCCCCTCTGCTCCTCTTGACATAACAGGGAGGGATCAGTGAGGGAAGGTGGGCAGGCGCTCTGTAATACATCCATGCCACGGCTCATTTGCCTACGTTGCTTCACATTAGGGACGAGATAATTTATCGCTCTCTTTGCGCGGCTTTACAAATTCCCTGTAATGCACTCCTGCCACTTAGCATATTTTATTGCCCTGCCTGACGCTTGTGTCTCCAGAGCCCTACAGATCGCGTTTTGCATGCCACAGTGGCAGAGAACTTGTTCCGCTCAATTATTCATCATCATTGGACTAAGTGGTTGTTCTATAAGCATAATAAAAGAGCAGGCAACTGACAGCTCCACTCTCATCTCTGTCCCATGATGCAATGAGATCTCCAGCAGAATTTATTCACACATTTTTCATGGGTCCACTCTTGTAAAGACAAAGGAATTTCTATGGCAACTTTTGAGACTAAATAATATTTCAGCAATGTTGAAAGTAACTCTGATCGGCGCTTTTTTCTATGAGGTTTTATGATCATATGACTATGTTTGCCTACAGAGGCCGAGGTCTTTCCTTCACACAGCAGAACTCATTACGATTATGCCGCACTTGTTTTTCAAGAAATGTCATCTCATCCCTTCAGCCTGTGCCAATATGTGTCTTTAGCCATGGTCGCCGGACCATATCTGAGGCTCTTTTCTCCCCATCACTGTGGAAGTATGTCTGGACCCTGGAGGGACACTGCCTGGAAGCACTACTACTCCATGGGTACTCCAAAATACCCATGTCAAACACATGTAGATTATCGAAGTAATTGTATAAATGTATTATATTAGGCGAACAATAAATATGCAGTCACTGTATGTCGCATGCTAACTTTCCAACAACATAATTTATGTTTAATATCTTGAAATGAATGTGTATGAAATCATGTATCATGTATACAATTAGTCCATGCTGAATTTATTTAGAGTTTAATTAAATTAGAGTTGCTTACAAAAGAACTGATGCAACTTGAACTCAAACAACATTCCTCTGAGCGCATTACGTTGCCTTTCAAAATGCTGAATGCCCATTGAGAGTAGATTAACTGTAATAGAGCCCACCTGACGGTGATCTACTCTCAGTATAATTACAGCCTCAGAGCTGAGTTTACAGTGTGTTCAACAGCATCATGAAGGCTGGAAACCCCCAGAGAGGTCAGAGATGAAGCTGTGGAGAGTTGTGGCGCTGCTTCTATAGAGATGGGGAAGATTGTTAAAACTATGAAAAAAATAAAACATAACAAACTTGACATGAACTACACTGGTTAAATACAGAACAAGCCATTTGTGACTTGAGCTCAACATGTTCAATGAGCTTGTGCTGCTTTAATCTCAGGAAAACCTCAGCTTCAGCTGAACAGAGCAGGGCTCAGGAAAAGAACAGTTCTTATTATTATTACATGCGGACATTCCCGATCCGTGCTTACACAAAATAGTGAAGAGACACAGTATCTATATCTTCCCAAGTTTTTCACTAATCAGAAACAATCATACAACAAATAATGTCTGGATTGGCATTGCTGCCAAAACAATATCGGATCGGGACATCCCTAATTAATACAAAATCAATGATTGCTTTAAAGTAAAGCGACAAAAACACATCCATGGAATGTCCAGAAAGGATCATTACCTTTAAGGCTTCAATGGCCGGAGCTTGGGCAGTGGTTCCATTTCATTTCTATCGTCTTGTACATTACTTACTGCCATACTTTGTCTACAGGAGCCTGCATTAAGCGGGCCCCTGGAGACTTGTCCTTATGAGAAGTTGGTGTGTAAAGTGGATAGATGGCCTGCCGCCACAAACACAGAGCCCAGGGGCTTCGCAGACACGGCCTGATGCCCCAGAGACTGCGCAATGGGATCTGCACAGGTACAAATCATCTCTGGAGTATCTACATCTTTCAGGAAATCCAGAACATTTCACGGAACAGCTTGTAATGACCCCCTTTCAAGCCTGGTTTTGTTTCAAACCTATGATACATTTATTTTAGAGTTTTGCACAGAAGCCTTCACAAAAACAGCGGAAGGAGGAGATTGACTGCAACATCCTGCAACAACTTTAATCAATGTAGCGATCTAAGGTGATTCTCTTTAGGGAACAAAAGGCTGCAGCCAATAAAATTAAGGTTTTAAAACATATTGCACTTCTGATGTCCTTCAAACCTGGGACTTTTCAAGGTCCCAGAGCTCTCTAACGCAAGACACAATCTTTGAGGGGAATATGAAGGAATGAAGGTTAAGGTTAAAGGAGTGACAGTGAGTAAGGGGACTTTTAATCCTGCACTGTGAGAGATATCATTATAATTACAGACAGAAGAAGTCATAAAACTAATTTGTTGACACTGATTTACAGTGGAGGCTTGAGCTTGCTGGACCTGCGGCCTTGTTTGAGCTTTAGTAATAGCCTGTATAATGTCCTGCGTGTAAAGGAGGGGGCAGACGGGACCCTCTGATAGGGGAGGGCATGTTTCCCCTGAATAATGCTGAGGAATAATGAGAAGGGGAGCAAAGGCTGTAGCCCAGGGCTTTGACCGTCTCTGTGACCTGATTATGTCAGGGAGTGTCAGCCGCCAAGACACTACAAAAGCACAGAGCAACCCATCAAGTCCATAGCCACAGTGATCTGTCCCCAGCGCTGCAGGCTGCCTATGGGCCAGGGCAGGCCATACTGTGTCATTAGGAGCATTTAGGATCAAGACTCTAATACATTTACCTATGAGCTCCACAGCTGTTATTGGAAGTGACCATGTCTTGTCCTTTCTACAAATGTAATTGTATTGGTATAGGTAATAATTTGTGTTCCTTGGACGGTTGTGTAAAACATGTAACTGGGGTTAAGGTAAATAACAGAGTGGCATGAAAGGGCACATTGTCCACACAATTTTCCTTTAATATGTGTTGTGTGCACCTACGATAAGATGATTCATTAGATACGGCTCCACAATGACAAGCATCATCGTTCAAGCCTCTGGCTACTGATGGAACAATTCTGCAGCCACCCTGTAAATATGACAAGGTCAGCGTTTTACTGCGACAGGCGCATGTGGATAAGAGAAACAAGGGCTTTGTTTAGTCCCAAAAAGCTTAATATATAGTTTCACTGTTTCTACATTGCAGACAAACAGCTTTAAGTCCCACCACTGGAAATCCATCACAAATACTATACTGCCCTCTCAATTGGCAATTGTTTATGATGGAGTGTGTGAGATGCAGAGGCTGGTTACTGTGGAAACCATGGTCAGAGTAATAGGTCATTAGGTCTTGTCCTAGAGAGAGACACCCACCTGTCCTTGTGCATTGGTCACCAGCTGTCCACTCGCTCCTTGTAGGTTTGACAGGGTGTTCCCAAACACCTGAGAGCCCATGGAGCCCATGGAGCCCATGGCTGCGGCCGCTGCCATTGCTGCCTGACTGGCCAGAGGGTTGAGCTGCTGCACACAGAAAATAAAGAGTATGTAAGTGAGTTTGCTCTGCTAAATGCAAATGTATAGACTCCAGCACCATCTGGGGGCTTCACACTTTCTCTGTTGCTACGGCCAGGAGTGGCCAACTGTGCCAGGGCATTGTAGTCCAATGCTGAGGACTGCACAGTCCATCATACAGTTCCCACAGGTCTGTGCTCTGGACCCAGTGGGAGGCTGTGGGGTGGGGAGGAGCAGTGAAAATGGGAGGGCAGCTGTGAATAAGTGGCCATTTTACCACTCTAAGTGCTTCCTCTGGCCCCTGGGCTCCCCACGGGCTGAGCCTAGGCTGTCTACCGGAGGCAATGACCCCGCTTTGGGCTGCGTGTACAATGGAGTCGTGCAGAGGGTTATGCATCACTGTATCGTCAACTGCTTCAATACGCTTCGACTGAGACTTTCTCTGTGCCAAATATACACACTGGGATTTTGAAGAAGAGGAGCTCAACTGACCACTGTAGTCCTGCTGTAAAGGACTCATCAGGACTGTGCCTGTGAAAAGAAGCTGCTGCTGCTGAAGGGAGGTTGAAGCGCTGCACACCCTGCCGATTACCCACATAAATCAAGCTAACTACTTATTAGAGGACTGAGGATGCACTGCTGATTTGGTTTGTAGTGTAGCAGAGCAAAGTCTTATTAGGTTGAGTAAGTAGATCAAAGATCAAGAAGAGATAGGAGACCCCCCAATTACTCCCCAGTATAGAGAATCATAGAAACATGGTTTGTAAACAGACTGCTCTCTGCAGCTGCCCATTACACAGACAAAGTATAATGTAAAAAAACAGCATTGTAAGAGTTTTGCTCAAACTAACTTTTTCACAGCCTGTGGTCTGCAGGGAACTCAGCTTTGTTCATCTAAGATCATTCAGTTCCCATACATCTTTTATCCCTCCCATCCACCATATATTATTACACTTTCTGAAATCAAATGATGAAAAAATGCCACTGCGCGATCAATACTTTTTCATTGACAGTAAAGGTTAAGCACATTAAGAATGACACTGCATTTGTCTTATGAAATCATATTTCATGTTGGTGGCCTCAAATTGGCCGTGATTGATATTGCCTCTCCTCGTCTGAAAGTCATCCAGTTTTTCCTTCATAATCGCTGGGTTGTCTTTTATGTGTCCAGTGAATGTCCTTTAAAGATCTGTGCATCACCACCATGCAACAACTGAATGTGAATATTGTCTCAAGATACTGGATAATAACAAACTAATAATGAACCAACGCAATTAGAACAGATCAGGAAATCAAGCAATTTATAAACGTCAGTGCTCAAGGTTAATGTGTTTTAATACTCAATGGCAGTTATTGTCCACTATATATAATTCTATTATAACTGAACGACAGTCACTGAAAATGGAGTTTGTATAGTAATTAAAATGCTTATAATGTGGTACGAACTGCGCTTTTTGTGAACACTCAAGAAACATTTCACTGTCATTCATTATTTTCAAGGTGGTGACAAACTACTACTGTAGCCACAGCTGCCCTGGAGCACACAGACAGAAGACAAACCATTATGAGCCATCGACCCCTCTGACCACCACCAACCATTCACTCACACACCAGACTCATTCTAGGCACTTTACAGCCTCCCCACTGTGGCACCTGGTGTTCTCCGAGGTCTCCCATCACAGTACTAACTAGACCCTGTCCTGCTTAGCTTCAGATGTCTGCAGGTGGCGCCACAATGAAGAATCCACACAGAAAGCTAAACTTAACCAAACAAAGACTGCACATTCACCCAGCTCCACTCTCCGTGTGTTGTTGTGTGATTCATTTAAAATATGATGTTTTCTTTGATGATAGCCCCACACACAGATTCCATGTTATTGTGCTATAACTAGGTACAAAGAGAGACCGCACTATTGGAGCTCCATTGAGTATTATGTGGCGGGGAGGGAGACTGTGTTCAGCGTCTAAACAGGTGATTTTCCGCCACGGTGACTCCTCTCAACACCTCGGCGGGAGGCACAAAATGACAGGCCTGGGCTCGCGTCTCTCCTGATTGCACGTGTTGTGGATATAAACAGTGATCTTCCAGTTTGCTGTGCCTGCATGTTAACCAACACATTTGATTTGGCTTATTGTCCATAAAAGGGTCAACTCAGAGCATCTCCTCCTCACTACAGGAGGTTAGATCCCAGCCTGCTACAGATATTGTGCACCATGTACGATTGTGTTCTGGTCTGTCGTAGCTCTGTTTGTACGATCAAGTTTCTCTTCTTTTTACTTTGGATGAGCTGATCTGATTTTTGGACTAGTGGCCACCAGGCATATGGGGTTTTATTAAGTAAATGCTAATCACCAATGAAACTCAACCTCCATAGGAACAGAAAACACAACATTTACCAAAACTATACAAAGAAATTATGGCCGTAACGATTAATCAGTTAATGGCAACAAATAGTTTTCTCAATAATCAATAAATTGTGAACTGCTTTAAATGACTTAAAAAAACAAAAAAAACAATCTATTAACATGTCCTACGGTGATTTAACTTGAGGTATATCTGGGTTAGACAGATGTATAAGTTAGGATAAGATATATACATATAATAAATAATAAATATAATTCTTATTCTAAACAGGTAACGATTAATTAAAAGAATAGTTGCTTATCAAATTAACTGTTGAATGCAGCCCTAAAACACATTCTTCTTCTGTCTGCCATACAATCTGTTGCATATGTTGATCATTAATATATATCTCTAAAATTACTTTTCAAGTTTCAACATATTATTCCAAAACATTTCTGAAAAAACTCTTTCATTTGATTGTGCCTGCCCTGTTAAACTATCCTACCGTTATAATACATACAAAATAATACAAGAATTGCCCCTGGTAGCTAGCAGAGGGTTCCATATTGACCCTGCTAAATCCTTAGTGTATCACAAGATGAACAAAATACTAAAATGAACAGTGGGCCTGCCCTGGTGTCTAAAGTGGGAGAAAATTCTGTATATTAATTAAAACATGTATGTATCGCAATGAAATCAATCAAGATCTATGAGAGAAAACCATTTGAATATGGTTCAATGATTTCGCACAATATGTATTTGAGAGACTGCTCTTTGCTATGATAAAGTATAATTAGCGTTTGAAATCAAAGTATGGAAAACATAACACAAGTTGACAGCCAAAAAATGGTCAGGGGTTTCTCAACTGATTTAGACTAATGTTGGTGTTCTGAGTCCGAATATCACATGCATGTTGCTCTATCAGGTTTTTGAGATACAGCCATAGTGTTATGGATTACGTACGTCTACGTTATTATGAATTCTGCTTATCAAATTTGATGGAGTAAATGAAAACTGAATGACTTTGGATACGTTGACTTTTATTTCTTGAGGAAAACGGAAAAAACGTCAAGGGTTTCTCAGCTGATGATCCGCAGAAATTTTTACGCAAAATCGATTAAAAAGAATATTTCTGTAGCAAAAAATCCTGACCTGACTGAGCAAAACCAAGGTCATTTTCGAACTCAGAGCATCAAAATTAGTCTAATTCAGCTGGAAAACCCTGGACTATTTTCAAAACATATTTTTTTGTTACCCAGTGTAATCATTGCTGCTGTCATAGGAAAACTAAAAACTCCACCTGTTGAACGGCCAGAGTCCTGCAGCCTCCACAATAGACCGGAGACTTATCCCAGGTTAATACATTCCAACATTCAGAAAGCCTCCAGAATCAACCAATTCAAACTCACTGATATAAAATTGTTACCGATTCAACTTTGTCCTGTAAGCGAAGGAGGTGAGCGAGTTTAAACGGTGCCAGACGACGGCGGCCTCCTGCACCTCGAGGGTCACCCGGTGCAGCAACCCGTGTAATCTCCAAAATAGAGGGGAAAATAGTGTCCCCACAACGCGTGCACGGACCCCATGGAAAATAAAGAACTGTCTGACACGAACCCAGCCACACTTTATTCTCCGCTCGCTCCGTCTCTGAGCGGCCGTTTTGAACCTAATTGCTTTTTCTGGACGATGCGGAACAAAAAAGCATATGAAAAGAGAAACAAAAGATGAGCATACAAAGTGGAACAGACACCAAAGCAGGACGATCTGTTTGGGCGGCCACTTCTCTGGGGTAGAAATTGTTAATGTTGTTTTTTAAAAGAAAACACCACAAAGAAGGAATTCAACTTGACAGAAATGTTGACGTTTGCCACTGCTGGTAAAGGTTATTTTAGTTGGATATTTAGTTCTGTGACTTCAACAGACTTACAGAGCAGGAGGTTGAATCTGGATGTTTGTCTACTTTGCTTCAGTAGATTGTACATAATATAACTGCAAGAGCAAGAAGGACACTACCTATTTTGGAGACACCTCACTTCGAGCGGGGGAATCTAACCTTTTTAGTTCAGTTTTAGTTCAATCACTAAAATGTTTAAGATATAAAACAATAGACCTTTTGGTTCTATCACTAGTCTATTTTTTGGCCTCTGGAACATCCTTAAATCACCTTTTTTCAGACAGAAAAGTGAAAAAAGAGAGGACCAACCTTACTCAGCCAATCAGCTCTCACCGGAAAGTGTCAAATAGTGACTCTATATCTCAGAATTTCAGATTGACACAGCTAAAATCTTGAGCATTCTTCCTGAAAATGTGAGACAGGCTGTTCAAATCCAGTTAAAACAGATCTGTCTAGCCGTCCAGGATTTTATCTTTACTATTTTTAAACCTGTGATTATTTATGCCTTGTGTGACGGTTTATATCTTGTTTTGTTAAGCTTAGAGTTGCCTTGTGTATGAACCATGCTTTACAAATGAATTTGCCTTTATGCAAAAGACAAGTTTTCTAATATGTTTCAGTCTGATTTGTTCACAAAATGTTTCTTCTTCAAAACTCTTTCTTATTTGTTTTGACTCCGAATCTTCAGGAAATCTATGTGAAATAAAAAGGCACATTAAGAACATATAACAATCTAACACAATCCATATTTTCGAAATGGCTTGATATGAA